TCAATCGTGTTTTATTTTGAAAAGAAGCCGGATGTTTTATTTTGTGTCTGTGCCCGACTTCCTTTCCAGCACGGGTTAATCTGTGCTGAATTTATCCGCCATGCTCCGGCGTCCAGAAAAAATAGAACTCTTGTGATCAGCTGAGGAGTCCGGCGATCCTCAGAGGAACGGAAAGAAGTCGGTGTAAATTGACACTTTAACTTGAATGGTTACGATCAGCTACGATCGGAGGATACGACCTTTTAGGAGACCATCAGGATGAAGGTGGAGGTCGGGGGTCAGATTGTTGCTCATTGTTTGACCTTGTCAGCTGATCCTCCTTCTTCTCACCATCCAAAGCTCCACATCAGAGTGTCTCCTCTCACCGTGTGATCAGCAGGTTCATCGTCGGGGGCAGACGTGGTTCTTCACGCTGCCTCCACCCGTCATAAAACTGAAGGAAGACGGAGAAGGAGCCGGTGGCTGCAGCTGAGATAGTTTCACATTTAAAGTTGAATTCAGGAACAGTTGAGCTCTTTAAAGAGCGTCTGCCTCTTCATGAAGACCATAACCACATGAGAAGTGAGGTTTTCCTCTCGCTCTCTGAACTGTTTTAATTTCCACTTCCAGACTGCAGATCCAGCAGAAGTAGTTTACACTGGAGATACAACACTTCTCTGAATATAGTGATGAACTACAGCAGCATCTACTCTTCAGACTGCAGTCTGAGGAAACTCCAGCCTGCACATAAATATCAGACACTGCAGTCAGAGTGAAGCACCAACACTGAGAGCAGAAACCTCCTTCATGGAGAGCTGAGAGCTTCAGCTTCTGTTCATTCTTAGTCTGGTGTTCATGTGTAAAGAGCATCAGTGGAGCGCTCACTCTCTGTCACAGAGCAGACTGAAGCTCAGCTGAGGTCAGATCTGAGTCCTCGGGGTGGTTAGAGCTCGCTCTCTTTAACCCGTTTAGATCAACACGCTAATAAACTTCAACACACTGATCAAAGCTCACCTGGACGAGGGTGTGTTCAGGTGTGACGCTCTGAACGGGATGAAACGTGTCGTTTAGGATCATTATCAAGAACATTATAAACAGAAAAGTCACTGATGGTGTTTGTGTCTCAGCAGCTGAGCCTGAAAATAAAACTACAGAGTCGACTCAGTTATTTATTCTTGACTAAACTGCAGAAACGTGTTTAAAAGTAAAGATCTCCAAAAACACCCTGAACCAGGATGTCCTTCAAAATAAAAGCATGTTGGTGAGAAACAAAGAAAATGACCATGAAGGCTCAACAGATGACCACATCAATGTCAACCACAACACTGGCGTTAGGAAAACGTCGGTGGTGTGGAGGTATTTTGGTTTTTGGAGGTCGGACATGAAGCAGAGTAATGTGGACTGTAAATTATGTCGAGTACATGTTCTCACAAAGTCGGGGAATACCTCAAATCTTTTTCACCACCTGAAGCAGCGCCACGCCGCAGAGCACGCGCAACGCCAAAGGTTACGAACCCCGAGAGGAGCGAGGAGCCCATGGCGCCTGAAACAGACGACCATTCAGTCGGCTTTCTCTAGAGCGACGCCTTACGACAAAACGCCAAAGAGACACAAAGACCTCACAGATGCAGGAGATTATTGTGTTGGAAAAGACATGAGACCAAGAAACACTGTTAGATATTTATATCCTGATATTGATCCATATCAGCTGATAGGAAATCAATAATAGATCATGATAAACTTCATATCGCCCAGCCCTAACTTCAGACAGACTGACCGTCTCTATAATCACTGAAGGACTACAGTCAGCTGTAGATTCAGCTCATGCTCTCTCTCTCTCTCCCTCTCTCTCTCTCCCTCTCTCTCTCTCACTCTCTCTCTCTCTCTCTCTCTCTCTCTCTCTCTCTCTCTCACTCTCTCTCTCTCTCTCTCTCTCTCTCTCTCTCTCTCTCTCTCTCTCTCTCTCTCTCTCTCTCTCTCTCTCTCTCTCTCTCTCTCTCTCTCTCTCTCTCTCTCTCTCTCTCTCTCTCTCTCTCTCTCTCTCTCTCTCTCTCCCTCCCTCTCTCTCTCTCTCTCTCTCTCTCTCTCTCTCTCTCTCTCTCCTCCCTCTCTCTCTCTCTCTCTCTCTCTCTCTCTCTCTCCCTCCCTCTCCCCCCTCTCTCTCTCTCTCCCTCTCTCTCTCTCCCTCTATCTCTCCCCCCTCTCTCCCTCCCTCTCTCTCTCTCCCTCTCCCTCTCTCTCTCTCTCTCTCTCTCTCCCTCTCCCTCCCTCTCTCTCTCCCTCTCTCTCTCCCCCCCTCTCTCCCTCCCTCTCTCTCTCTCCCTCCCCCCCCCCCTCTCTCTCTCTCCCTCTCTCTCTCTCTCTCCCTCTCTCTCTCTCTGTCTCGCTCTCTCTCTCCCTCCCCCTCCCTCTCTCTCTCTCTCTCTCTCTCTCTCTCTCTCTCTCTCTCTCTCTCTCTCTCTCTCTCTCTCTCCCTCCCCACAGCCCTAAAAGCTGTGTGCTGACATTAATGAGGCTAACCGGAGCAGGATGGATGGTCCTGGTTCTGTTCGCCGCAGCGTCCTCCTCGCTGTTTCTTTAACTTTGTTTACTGCAGTCATTATCTCCCCTCTCTCTCTCTCTCTCTCTCTCTCTCTCCCTCTCCCTCTCTCTCTCTCGCTCTCTTTCTCCCCCTCTCTCTCTCTCTCTCTCTCTCCGCGCCCTCGTTCTCGTCGGCTCAGCTCAACATCCTCCGGCCGGTTTCAGCTCCAGTTCATCATCTGATTGGATGTCACAGACTGGGCGCTCTTTATCTGCAGCCCCGCCACAGCATCACGAACGTCCCCGGGAGCGCTGTGATGAAAACGCAGAGAAGCTGATCTATGTGGACGCCGCAGAGAGACGCTCCGGGGTATAAAACAGGCGTGAGGGAGGGGTCCCGCCGGAGCTGTACTGTCTGGGTGGGGCTAAGATAAGACACAGCTTCAGCCCCCATTCATAAACAGATAGATCAGACTGCAGAGGGGTGGGAGAAAAGAGGAGGTGGAGGAGGAGGAGGAGGAGGAGGTGTCTGCTGACAGCTGGGCTGCTCCTTTACAGCCCCATAAAGAACCAAAAGGAGAGAAAGTCCTCCTGCTCGTCCTCCACGTCTGTGTCCTGCTGCCCTCAACAGAGGAGACGAAGCTGCTGCGGCTACGTCGGTCACACCTCCACCTGTTCACATCCACCCTGCAGGATTCAGCTCTGAGTGTGAGGCTCTCCACAGACCCAGACTCAACATGTGAGAATCAACCGAGAGGACATGTCTGCAGAGCCGGAGAGACAGCAGATCCACAACCCTGATCCACAACCCTGATCCACAACCCTGATCCACAACCCTGATCCACAACCCTGATCCACAACCCAGATCCACAAACCAGATCCACAACCATGACAGATCCACAACCATGATCCACAACCATGATCCACAGCTGTGACAGATCCACAACTGTGACAGATCCACAACCCTGATCCACAAACCAGATCCACAACCATGACAGATCCACAACCCTGATCCACAACCCTGATCCACAAACCAGATCCACAACCATGACAGATCCACAACCATGATCCACAACCATGATCCACAGCTGTGACAGATCCACAACCGTGACAGATCCACAAACCCTCTTTGCGCCCTGCTGGAAGGAGTAGGTCACTGCATGACCGCCCCTTGTTCCTGCTTCTTTCTGAAGGTTATGGTCTTGAATGGAGCGACGTCCTGATCAAGAATCAAAGATGAATCACATGATTTTTAGTCATGAATCAAACCGTTGTTTAAAATAAATGTGACAGGCTGCGTTTATAACATTTTCCATGATCGTCTGAAACGCTCATCGAATCTCAGTAAAGTTAACGCTAACATTAGTTTGTTGAAGTCGTAAATGTACGATTTGACCCGTAGGCTAATAGCATTATAGTGACTGAGACAGAAGTGTGATGACTAATAATGTTCATGAGATTTCACATGAAAATAAACGAGAAAAACAGAGAAAATATCCGATTCATCGTCTCTGCAGACACAGACTTTAACGTTCAGAAGGTCAAAAATAACAGTGAGACCAGTCCTGATGATAACGGGATATTTCTGTAGAATTAACCTGAAATATTACAGGAAGGCAGACAATAAATAAAAAACTGTAAAATTATTCAAATCTAGCTGAATATCTAAATCTGTGACTGTGGACACTAATTTATTTATTTAAAATAAACTTCAAATACAGAGTCCTGAGAACTGAACACTTCCTTCACTAATTCAAGACTTTCATTCTGATTGGATGATAATCTGTGACTGCGGGTCAATTATTTATTTATTAACTTGTTCATTAAATTTCTGGGCACAAACACTGAAACAGAGTGAAAAGGACCGAAGTCCCGTCAGCTGATTTAAAGAAGTTCAAATGTAAACAAAGTTCTGTCTCCGTCTTAAACTCCACATGAAAACGGATCATTTTCAGACAAGAAGCTTTAACGTCTTCTGTGGTTTAAAAAGAGGGCTGTGGATCTGTCACGGCTGTGGATCTGTCACGGCTGTGGATCTGTCATGGTTGTGGATCTGTCACAGTTGTGGATCTGTCACGGCTGTGGATCTGTCAGGGTTGTGGATCTGTCACAGCTGTGGATCTGTCACGGTTGTGGATCTGTCACAGTTGTGGATCTGTCACAGTTGTGGATCTGTCACAGTTGTGGATCTGTCACAGCTGTGCATCTGTCACAGTTGTGGATCTGTCACGGTTGTGGATCTGTCAGGGTTGTGGATCTGTCACAGCTGTGGATCTGTCACGTCTGTGGATCTGTCACGTCTGTGGATCTGTCACGGCTGTGGATCTGTCACAGTTGTGGATCTGCTTGGCTCTCCGGCTCTGCAGACACCCCCTACTCAAATAAACAATCATCTCCATTACAATCATCAGCAGATGATAAACGACTGGGAGGAGAAGGAGGAGGAGGAGGAGAGGATGGACAGCTGGGACGATGCAGCAGCACATCTCTATAAAGTGGTCCAGGTTTGTGGTTCCGGTGGTTTTTAATGCTGAGAGTTTTTCTCACTGAGCAGCAGAAGTTTAATTAAATCTGTGGATAATGAATGAAGAGTCTTTCCCTGACGGGTGAAGGTCTCCACGTCTGCTCCGGACCTTGAGGTGGCATTAAGAGAAGAGCGATCGGAGAAAGTCTCGGGGTGCACGCAGCCTCGATTCGTGCCAGACATTAATTCAAGGTGATGCATCGTCTTAATTTCTCTTAAGGTCCAGATCCCTGAGGTGCTGAAACCGTCCAATCAGAGCTTCTCCTTCCAAACTCTGTCGGACGTTTGAAAACAGCGGTCCAGACGGATTTACAGGAGAAGAGAAATAAATAGAAACATCCGAGGAAACGAACGACTTTGAAGAGATTTAACCTGAGAGACGTGTCTCTACCGTGTTTTTAAGACAGCTGCCGTTTTCGGTGACGTGTCTGCATCAGGTCTCGACCGGCTGGTTTATGGACTTCCTGTTTGTTTGTTTGGGACAAGGACCAGTTCAACAGAGGAGAAAGAAGTGGTCCGGGTTCAGGTTCATCTTTGACAGCCTGTGTGAAATCATCTCTCTCTCTCTCTCTCTCTCTCTCTCTCTCTCTCTCTCTCTCTCTCTCTCTCTCTCTCTCTCTCTCTCTCTCTCAGGTCCAGATGGTCAGCAGCATGAGGATCGGTCGTAACGTAAACTACCGCATCCTGGACATCGACTGGTGCACGTCCGACAAGGTGGTGCTGGCCTCCGATGACGGCTGCATCCGGGTTCTGGAGATGGCCATGAAGTCCGCCAGCTACCGCATGGACGAGCAAGACCTGACGGGTGAGTTAGACGTCCGTGTGTGTGTGTGTGTGTGTGTGTGTGTGTGTGTGTGTGTGTGTGTGTGTGTGTGTGTGTGACCATCATCAGGAGCGTTCATGGAGCCGAGCATTTGGAGTGTTTCTGCAGAATCAGAGCATCGGGGTAGAGACCCCGTCAGTCACCTGTCTGACATTACAACCAGGTGCAGCGGTTCAAACGTCACGTATGGTCCCTTTAAAGAGAGAAACATGAGTCTAAGTCGTATCTTGTGTCTCTGAATCTTGTGTTTCTGAATCTTGTGTCTCTGAATCTTGTGTCTCTGAATCTTGTGTGTTTGAATCTTGTGTGTTTGAATCTTGTGTCACTGAATCTTGTCTCTGGATCTTGTGTCTCTGAATCTTGTGTCTCTGAATCTTGTGTCTCTGAATCTTGTGTGTTTGAATCTTGTGTCACTGAATCTTATGTCTGGATCTTGTGTTTCTGAATCTTGTGTCTCTGGATCTTGTGTCTCTGGTTCTTGTGTCTCTGAATCTTGTGTCTCTGGATCTTGTGTCTCTGGATCTTGTGTCTCTGGATCTTGTGTTTCTGAATCTTGTGTCTCTGAATCTTGTGTCTCTGGATCTTGTGTCTCTGAATCTTGTGTCTCTGGATCTTGTGTCTCTGAATCTTGTGTCTCTGAATCTTGTGTCTCTGAATCTTGTGTCTCTGAATCTTGTGTCTCTGGATCTTGTGTCTCTGAATCTTGTGTCTCTGAATCTTGTGTCTCTGAATCTTGTGTCTCTGTCTCTGGATCCAGACCCGGTTTGGTGTCCGTACCTGCTGGTTCCTCGAGCCGCTCTCACTCTGAAGGCCTTCCTGCTGCTGCAGCCGTGGTCAGGAACCTTCACCATGGACATCACTCAGGTGTAAGTCTCACCTCTGAGGACAGTCTAAAATAAACGGGCCATAAATCACCCGGCCTTACAGTGACACACACACACACACACACACACACACACACCGCAGAGCTAAATCAACCTGAGCCGACCTTCCTGACTCTGAGTGTTTACGGATTCTTCAGCGGTCCAGAGAGAGGATGAAGACCTGCGACCTCCTCCATCCAGACTGAGCAGCAGTTTTTAATATCAGCTGTGGTTTTATTTTGTCCGGACCTCCGATGTTTGATGTTTGATGTCTGTGTTTCAGAGACTACAGCGAGAAAGGCGAGATAAAAGGTCTGATCCAGGAGCAGCTCAACTCGCTCTCAAAGTAAGTTCCTGCGCCGTCTGACAGGAGAGCGCCCCTCTGTGTTTGTGCGGCGTGTTCGCAGGAGTATCCTCATTTATTTAGACTGACTCTGTTCCAGCCTTGTGATTGGCTGTGCTCTGACCCTCTGTCTCTGATTGGCTCCTCAGTGACATGAAGAGCGTGTTACAGGATCCCGAGCTCAGCCTGCTGCAGCGCTGCCTCCTGGTCTCACGGTGAGTTCAGACCTCAGCGACGGCAGGGCGGGGGGGTCTGTGTGAAATCAGCTGTTCTGGACATGAGTGTGGGGGGGGGGGGGGGTTGATTTTAAAGTGACGGACGTTTCAGAGGCGGGTCAGAAGGAGGTCTGAATCGTCCTGAGAGCAGACACACTCTCAAAGAACACGTGAAGGACGTTTCCATCGGAGGGTTAAACTCCGAGTTAAACTCCGAGTTAAACCTGAGTCTT